GTAAAAGCCCTCTGGTAGCTTCTCCACTTTCTGTTAAGTATAATCATGTGCTTCTGTAGTCATCTTCATTTCTTAAAGCACTTTGTACCTTGATCAAAGGTATTGCACCTAGTTTAGCCTTCCATCAGCTGTTTTAGTAGCTGGATGCACATGTAATCTTCCTGAAAACTCTTCAGTGTGTCATGGAGAAGTTACTGCATTAATCTGGGAAATTCAAGTTCTGTGTCCAGTTCTGGGTTCCCCAGTACAAGAGAGATATGCACATACTGGATAGAGTTCAGTGAACAAGAGAGATATGCACATACTGGATAGAGTTGAGCAAAGGGCCATGAAAATGATGAAGGGATTGGAGCATCTCTCCTATGAGGAAAGGCTGAGAGAGTTGGAACTGTTTAGCCTGGAGAAGGTTCAGGGGGATCTTATCTATATGTACAGATACCTGAAGGGGAATGTGCAAAAGGATGGAGACAGACTCATTTCAATGGTGCCTGATTAGAGCACAAGAGTCAATAAGCACAAACTGAAACACAGCCGTGTCAACCTGTGTAAAAGCCCTCTGGTAGCTTCTCCACTTTCTGTTAAGTATAATCATGTGCTTCTGTAGTCATCTTCATTTCTTAAAGCACTTTGTACCTTGATCAAAGGTATTGCACCTAGTTTAGCCTTCCATCAGCTGTTTTAGTAGCTGGATGCACATGTAATCTTCCTGAGAACTCTTCAGTGTGTCGTGGAGAAGCTACTGCATTAATCTGGGGTTTTATTCAGTCAACCACAGTTAGAGAATTTTTGAATTGTCTTACAGGAATGGTATTACCATATGGAAAGGGCCATGAAAATGATGAAGGGATTGGAGCATCTCTCCTATGAGGAAAGGCTGAGAGAGTTGGAACTGTTTAGCCTGGAGAAGGTTCAGGGGGATCTTATCTATATGTACAGATACCTGAAGGGGAATGTGCAAAAGGATGGAGACAGACTCATTTCAGTGGTGCCTGATGAGAGCACAAGATTTAATAAGCACAAACTGAAACACAGCCGTGTCAACCTGTGTAAAAGCCCTCTGGTAGCTTCTCCACTTTCTGTTAAGTATAATCATGTGCTTCTGTAGTCGTATTAATTTCTTAAAGCACTTTGTGCCTTGATCAAAGGTATTGCACCTAGTTTAGCCTTCCATCAGCTGTTTTAGTAGCTGGATGCACATGTAATCTTCCTGAAAACTCTTCAGTGTGTCATGGAGAAGTTACTGCATTAATCTGGGATTTTATTCAGTCAACCACAGTTAGAGAATTTTTTAATTGTTTTACAGGAATGGTCATTTCTTAAAGCACTTTGTACCTTGATCAAAGGTATTGCACCTAGTTTAGCCTTCCATCAGCTGTTTTAGTAGCTGGATGCACATGTAATCTTCCTGAGAACTCTTCAGTGTGTCGTGGAGAAGCTACTGCATTAATCTGGGGTTTTATTCAGTCAACCACAGTTAGAGAATTTTTGAATTGTCTTACAGGAATGGTATTACCATATGGAACCCCACCCCTACCATTTAAGATTGTTGTACCCAAATGTATCTTTTACAACTTTCTTTTTTTGTGTGTGTGTGTTTGCAAAATGGTAAAAAACCTGACTTTTGACATGTTTACTTGTATTCTTGAATGCCTTTAAAAAAAATGTGTGAGGAATGAAATCAACGTAAGTTTACCATATATAGAGAGGTAGTCCAGCTCTCCATATCCTTCAAAACGTCTTAAAAATACACAAAAATATTATAATTTTCTTTTCAGAAAAATCAGGAGGCTGAAAGTCAAATTGCTTGCCTGCCCAGATGTTAACAGCAAATATTGGATTGTTTGTTCTGTTTGGCTAACCATTTGTAATTAAGAAAAATGATCTTTTTGTTTAATTCCTTAGTTTTGAATCTGATTCTTTTTTTGTGGCACTAAGAAAAGAGCCGTTAGCCATTAAAACAAATTTATATTTGTCTAGAGAACTATTTGCAAGGCATACTCATGTTCTAAGCAGTTTTTGTTAACACTTGTTTAAGTAGATTGCTTCCCTAACTTCAGGAATTATACCAACAATATCACCCTCCTTAATTCATTTGCTCATTGTCTTCTCTTTCATTTTTCTGCTTTGAAAATTTACCTCTGTATTAGATTTTCCTGAAGACTAAAATAAACTTTGAAAAATTAAAATGTCTCTGCTCCATTCTTTAATTGCTTTTATAAGTCTAAGATATCTGTTCCTACAGTACATTATGGCCATAAAATATCAATAATTCAGAGGTCGTTTGTTTGATTGTGATCTAGGTTCCAAGCTGTGTGCTTGCTCAGATTCAACTGTGCCTAGTGAATATGCACAATCATATATATTATGGTACTGAAAAAGATCAGAAAGTGTAGAAGCAACCAAAAATGAGAATTAAAAATTGCAAAATATATTCAGGTACAATTGTTATATGATGGTTTGTAGTGCTGTAATAGTTTACTTTAACATGTTTATGATTCTTGTTCAGTGCAGTGCGAGAACTGATTTAATTTGTTTGTAGTCATGGAGTAATGTGTCCCATATTACTTTGGATTTGAATTAGAAATCTACTTTATTATCAGAGCAGGGGAGTTATTTTTAATTTCCTTAGCATGTGCTTCCGGGTTCTTAGAATTCGTGTATATGTGCATGTGTGGACACCATGGAGTTTACCAGTTTAAGATAATAATATTGAAACCTAATATCAGAAACCTAGGTAAACTTTTAAACCATAGATCTTATCTTGAAATGTTGTCACCAATCATTACATATTTGCAAGACCTGTGTAATGGAATAACATTAAGCTTATAACACAGATTTATTTAAAAGTTCATTTAATAATAACTCATCGTCAATAAGATCTGTCAGTTGCCTAGTTCAGAATGTATATTTTTATAGTTTTGAAAGTTCAATAGCATGAGATAGTAATTCAGTCACCTAAAGTTTGTGTGTACATGTGTATGGATTTCTATGATCTTCATAAATACCTGTGTGTATGGATTTCTATATATAAAGTATGTGTGCGCTTTATCAATTGGAATTATTGGCAAAAACTTGTCAGATTTTTTTTTTTTAGGTGTGACCAGTTTTTTTTAAAGATATTCTGTCATATTGCAGGGTTTAGCAAGGCTCATGCAAGTCACTTCTTTAAAAAAATATTTTAATAAATTAGTCCTTCTAGTGTTCTGGAATTTCTTTTGCCTTCTCACAATTACAAAACCCCAGAGCTCACAGCAGTTCCAAATGAATGTGTAGAAACTCTTTATAAGGAGGAAGGTGATTAACCCTTTCCTATGTTCACTTCTGAATTCCTAAGGAATTCAGACACAGCGGGGTTGAATATTGCCAGGATACAATAAAGATCTAAGGTCTTGAAGCCTGGTGATACTTTGCTCTGGGAGGACTGAGAACTGTTTTTTAGAGAATTCTGTTTGTAAAGACTCACCACATAAATAAATTGTTAAAAGTTACATTTGATTGAAATTATGGGCAAAGAGAAGCAATTCCGATTGAAAAGAGTAAAAATGACAAAATGACTAGCTTATTTAAAACAGGTTTATAATTTTATTGGTTATGTTTTGGCTTATTTCAGTGACGTGTATTGTAATATGGGTGTGTATTGTGTGCTTGTGGCTGTAATTATTCACAGTGAGTTAATTTATGCCATTAATATCTCATTTACTAACAAGCGCGTGGTAAAACTGCAAGAGTTTTGATTTGGATAAATATCTAGCCATACAGATGTTTATGTAAACATTTTTGAGCTTTACATATTAAAAATCTTATGAAATCAACATTTGTTTGATCCTTCAAATAGATTTGATCTTGTTTTTATTTCTAATTGAACCAAATGAGCCATTGTTGTGCATTTTTTACTTTCAGTGAAAAGAAAGGCAATTTTTAAGCATAAAACTGATCATTCTAGCTGGGTTATAAGTTTGTTGGGGGTTTGTTTGTTTGTTTTGGGTGTTTGTTTTGGAGTTTTTCACTTCTGAGCATAAAGCCTATTAAACCAATCTTTTTAATAGACATGTTTCAGGAGGAACTTTTACATAAACAGAACGAGATGGCTTCAATTTCATTTTTAAGTCATGGGGAAAAGTTAATACCTTCCAGTCTAAAGGCGTGTGACAGCTGAATATGAATATAAATATCTGTAAAAGAAAGTTAAGGATGTAAAAAATGTTAAATGGTTTCTTATTAAATGCCATAAACATTTTTTGCTCTAAAGAAGAATTAATGATAACTTCTTTAACAGTTACCAGTTACTGCTTGTTTATGTGCTAGAAGAACTTAAACTGGTTCAGGAAAATAACAGACAATTATAGTATCCATACTAAAGGGCAAAATTAAAACTTTGAAGGGTTTTCGTGTTTCTTTTTGAGTAAAATATGGTGTGCACAATGGCATACTTTTGTGTAAAATATGGGTGTATGTTTAATGACATAAATTATTAATTAAATTTACTAATTTCATTTGTGACTGATGCATTTCTAATAAGAATAGAATTTTCTTCTATTTTTGTGAAAGAGTGCAATAGTTTTAGCTACAGGCTACTATGAAGAAAACTACCTTTATCTTCAGCCACAACTGGTACAAAAAAAAGTTACATGACTTTTTTCTCCAAAACCAAATTTTCCTGAATGACCTCATAAAGGACAATTAAACAGTCTTCAGAAATGAAATGTAAGATACATACATGGATAACATTAATATTTTTTACAGTTTCTTCTTGATAAATTTGAAATGCAAATTCAATTTGAAATATCAAACTAAAGGTTTACTTTAAATTCATAAAAACCACCAAATCCTTACTAAATGCCTAGTAAAAATGAATTTGATGTAGTTTATGCCGAATGAATGCATACCTTCTGTGCCCATAGAAACTGATTTTCTGTGTTCTCAGATAATCTTTGTGTAATTAAGTGTATGAAAAACACACCTCTCATTTGCTTACTAATACTTGTGCCTTTCTTTTCCAGATGACACGAGAGCAGTACATATTAGCAACGCAACAAAACAGCCTTCCAAGGACTGAACATCCTCAGTTTTACCCAGTAGGGATTTATGGATGGCGAAAGAGGTGCTTATACTTCTTTGTCCTTCTGCTGTTGGTTACCATGATTGTTAACTTAGCAATGACAATATGGATTTTGAAGGTTATGAATTTCACAGTGGTAAGTATCACAGTGACATTGTATACCCTGTTTCTTGAAGTAATAACTTTTAGTTCTTTCCTTTATTGTGTTGTATACAAATCTTGAGTGTTACTTCAAGATATTTATACTTTTTGTGTAAATTCTGCAGTGAGGTGACCCATGTCCTAGATTATCTATTCAGCTATTTTTGGTTACTCATACCTGCTGAAAATATATCTGGATCTTGGATATTTTATTTTTTTTGTTAACCCAACCTAAAGTATCGTAGTGACTACCCCAAGCATCTCTTGGTTGCTTGTCTCCACTGATAGCAATCAGTATGAGTTCGCTATGCCTCTTCTGTATGGTATCTCTCTTCAGAGGAAACTGAGTTAGTTGGGTCAACTTAGGGTGGGTTTTTTAGTTTATATTGTTCTTAGTATTTTTTTAGAGTTTACTGAACTTTTGGACTGTCTCTTACCTGGCACTTAGAGTCGTTGTTTTGATTCTGGCAAGACTGGGTAGATGGATATAAAAGCCATGGGCTTTTATGAGACATCTTCCATCTGGAATCTTCAATAGCAGCGCGGTGTTACCATGGCTGTATTTCAGAGGCACACCTGAAAGAAATTCTGCATTTAATCGAAACTGTGTCATCTGCCCAGCTGTTCCCAAAGCTTTGTTTGGATAAAGGTGGTAGGAGTGCTGACTAGTTGGCAGTGGAGTAGTGTCATTTTGTATATCAAAAGAAAAGACAGAACACTCCACAGTTTAAAATAGCAGCACTTCTGCTCGGATCAGTGTATTCTCTCTCTCTCTCTGGATTTTGACCATATTTAAGCCATATTTTGATGCAGCTAGTAATACATTTCTAATTCCTAGGGTCATCACACATATATATTCTCCATTATTTTATTGGAAATAAAAAACAGCCAACAAAACCAACATTAAACAAATGACGAAAATTGTTCTGTATCTGCTAATGCTTTGTAAGGCATAGGGTTATTTGAGATCATTGCCTGGTGAGGTGTATTTTGCAAATAAAGTGCTACTTCTGAGCTGCCACTAGTGAATGATTATATTCGATTCATATTTTGACAACTGTATGACTTCAATATTCATGTACAGAAAAGTTTGTTAGAAGTTTGAGGGGGAGGGGGTGTTTGGGTTTTTGGCTTGGGTTTTTTGTTTTTGTTTCTTTGAGGTTATGGGGTTGTTGTTTTTTTAGCATAACACGTTTGCAGAACAGGACATCCACATACACTTTTGCTATGTGTATTAGGAGCATATTTAGGCATACCTGTTGACTTCAGTAAAATGGTCTGCTGTTATTCCAGAGGAGAATTAAGCATGGAAATTTAAATATGTTAAGAAAATGTTTTAAAAAACACAGACTTTTTCTCTGTGCAGAAGATTGCATTCCAATAAAATATTTGAAACTACTGCTTCCATACCTAGGCAAAGTTTGACCTTCCACAGCATAAGCTACTATAGCACTATCCAATTTAAAACTCTTGCAATTTGAACATACAATCATTTTAAAACAAAGCCAGAAAAGATATTTTGAAATATTTTTCTTTCTTGTACGTCAAAGCTCTGTTAGAAATTTAAAGGTTTATGGTGACTCACTAAATCAGTGCAAGAATCTACTGCAGGAAACAACTGGATTGTTTCAGTGGTTCTGTTTACTAATTAGTGAATTAAAGACCTTGCTTCAGTAGCTTGAGAGATATATGTATCTGAAATAATTATGCATATATTATGAAATATATAAATCTATTAACCTTCATTCTTTACATGGCAAAATATTTCATACTTTTGTTTTATGAAATGTACTGCTTCAGGACTGATTTGGTTTGTTTTCCAACTTTTATATAAATTTATGGAACGATCTGTGGTTAAACTTTTGCACAAAACAGAATCCATACGCATAAAGCTGTGGTTTATGACCTGAAATCATATATCTCAGTGTGCACACATTTGTTTTGCAAAGAGACTGTTAAAAAATATAGTAATTAGATGACATGTCAATAGGTTATTTAATATTATAAAGCTACATGTGATAGCTGTGGGCATATCATATAATTTAAAGCTGAAAGAATGAAAAAAGTCTGTCAGTATCTGCTTCTGCTTTTATAAGCACTAGTACTTTGGATTATGTTCTAATCTATTTTGTTAAATGTAGACTGAAGAATAACAATTTCCTTCTGCAGACTCATGGAATGTCAGTCTTCTTTTTGGACTAGTTAGTATTTACAGTAGAGTCTCTATATGGGTTCAAAAACTGATTATTAGAAGATTGTAATATAAAAAAATAAGTAAAATCTTCACCCTTAAGTCTACACATGTACATTTGAGCACCAGCAGGATATTTATATCCAGTCCGAATAAGTCACATTCTTAGTGACAGGCATCTGAGAGTAAAATAATTGAAAATATGAACCTAAACTTCATGTATTTAAAGAATGCAATATCTTTGAAATATACATATATTTCTTCCATGTGCATATATATATGTATAGATAGATATAGACTAAGAAATTGTATTTGCATATCTGGGTGGTGATAGAAAATCAGAAGTACAGCTTTTGAAAAAGAAAATATTTTCACTAAGCTGGTTTAAAAGGATTTTGCACAGGAGAGGAATCTAGCCATGGTAAAATAATTGTTACAATTGAACTGCTTTGACATTTTGACATTATTTTAAATTATTTGCTGTTTTAGCATAAGCCAATGTTAAGCTTATTATAAAAACAATAGTAATTGCACCACTTCAAGGGGTCATGAAGAGCCAGGGCATGGGTTTGTCATTGCTGGCTGACAATTGCAAGAATGCTAATTTGCATTAGCTCTTCACTTTCTATTTTTAACTGTACAGCTGCAGTCACTGACCAGTTGGCACAATAAAAGCCTTTCTGAGTTCAATTTATGGATTGTTCAGTTTGGAAAAGTTTGCTGAATATACTGACCTTACATGTAAAAGTTGCATTTTGAATCTGAGCTAGTTATCCCAAGCCCTTTTTATTCACAGAGAGGAGAAATAAGGCTTTTCATCTTATAGTTAGACAGGTAACTGAAGTTAATTGTCCGTAAGGCATGGATGTTGGATAGCTCATCAAAGAGGTAATTAAAAAGGAAATATGGTTTATTTGCAATTCTGTAGAAACACAGGATAGGCAAGTTGTGCGAGTCTCTACATATCAGATTAAGTAATATATCTGTGAAACTTAGAGAAACTTTTGGGTATATCATCTCTTATTCCAGCGTATGATGTAAGAAAGAATCTTGAAAGGTAAATACAAGGTACAAATAACTGCCCTGATATAATATGTATCAGTTAGATTAGCAAAACTGAAGGTTGACATTTTGACATTATTTTAAATTATTTGCTGTTTTAGCATAAGCCAATGTTAAGCTTATTATAAAAACAATAGTAATTGCACCACTTCAAGGGGTCATGAAGAGCCAGGGCATGGGTTTGTCATTGCTGGCTGACAATTGCAAGAATGCTAATTTGCATTAGCTCTTCACTTTCTATTTTTAACTGTACAGCTGCAGTCACTGACCAGTTGGCACAATAAAAGCCTTTCTGAGTTCAATTTATGGATTGTTCAGTTTGGAAAAGTTTGCTGAATATACTGACCTTACATGTAAAAGTTGCATTTTGAATCTGAGCTAGTTATCCCAAGCCCTTTTTATTCACAGAGAGGAGAAATAAGGCTTTTCATCTTATAGTTAGACAGGTAACTGAAGTTAATTGTCCGTAAGGCATGGATGTTGGATAGCTCATCAAAGAGGTAATTAAAAAGGAAATATGGTTTATTTGCAATTCTGTAGAAACACAGGATAGGCAAGTTGTGCGAGTCTCTACATATCAGATTAAGTAATATATCTGTGAAACTTAGAGAAACTTTTGGGTATATCATCTCTTATTCCAGCGTATGATGTAAGAAAGAATCTTGAAAGGTAAATACAAGGTACAAATAACTGCCCTGATATAATATGTATCAGTTAGATTAGCAAAACTGAAGGTTATTAGTATCTGTATGGCAAAAAAAAAAAATTGGATAGAGATCTCAGAGATGTACTAACAATTTTTTGAAAGATATTCCCCCACTGGTAGCTTAGAGTTACCATCCTTTAACATCTAGTTGAGATCTGTTACCTCACTGTTCCATCTTGAGCTCAGAAAGGTACATGTGAAAGCATGCAAGACCTTCAGGACAAGGAAGTCTCTAAACATTTCCACTGATAAATGCCTATGGCTTTAACACACCTTACTATCCTGGGTTTACGTGGAAAGTAAACATTCAGGAGTAGGCTATATTAGAGGAAGATCTAACCTTGAACCAAATGCTCTGCAATAACAGCCCTGAAGTAGTCCCTGGTCCGATCTTGCCATTGGAATAAAAATCTTTGGTGTTTTATGTGCATCAAGTGGATCTGCTCTGTCGTGAGTGATAATGATAAAATAATTTGACCCCTCTACTGATATATTGTCCACCTATGGAACCATCATAATCTCTGAATCACATGTTTGACTTTCATACTTCATCTATTGTATCAAATACTTTCCTGAAAAGTAACCGCTGTCTTCAAGATTAACTCAACTTCCTCCTGTCTCTTAGGCTTGATCTTCAAAGGGTACTTGCAAAACATCTTGGAAAAACTATGTAGCTGTTGTCAATATCAAAATAAGAGGCTTAGGAGACTTGAATTTTATCAAACATTTATAGTTTCCTTTCTTTGTACTAACCTTGCTGTGGTCCACAGGCTCCCCCGTGGAAACCTCTGTCTTTGCAACTACCTCTCATTCAGTCTGGGTTACAGGTGTCTAAGGAAGCTCAAAGCTGTTAGTTACCTTTTTGTGTCTATACAATTATTGTACTAGGTGTTTCAAGAAGGGTGTGACACTCAAGTCATAACTTGGTGATGTAACCAAAGGGTAAACTATGGTTATGTTGCGTAATTATAACATCCTGGTTATTTTGTTTATGTAATATATATATGAATTTTAAGGGATAACAAGGAAAGATTTT